ACTTTGCAAATTGATTATTTCAATTTTATTATTATTATTATTTTTTCATGAAAATTAGTAACAAAAAAAAAATAATAATAATAATAATAAAGTAACTAAATAATACTAATCTATTTTACAATAAAAATAAACTATGATAATTAGCAAATTTTAAAATGATATTTTTTTGTTACAAGTGTCTTGACAAACGCATTGTTAAATATTGTAACTCATTAATAAGTTACAGTATTTATCAAAAATTTATATTAACATTGTATATTAATGATGTTATCACATTATTACTTTTATGAAAAAAAGACTTTTTAAAGATAAATAAAACATTTAAAGCTTCAAGTTTATCGTAACGTAAAACATAAAAAAAGTATCTTTAAAAGTTAAAGTAACTTATGGTACTTGAGCAATCTAATTATTTGTTTTATTACTTTTACAAGTGTAACCAATAGAAGCGTAACGTAAAGCGTTTAAGAATTTAAATATAATTAAAATATTTTAAAAATGTAAATTTTTTTACATTACATTATGTCTTTTTTTATTTTTTAAAGTGTTACCAATTGAGACATAACATAATGTTAAAAAAATCTATATTTGAGATGTATTTTAGTTATGTCTCAAATCTAGATTTGTTCCATTAAATTATGTCTCAATTAGTTATGCTTTAAAAGGTCTCAATTAGTTACAGTTTTTAAAAACAACAGACGCAACGTTGCAAGTTAAAACTTAATTTTTTTTCGTGAAAAAGTTACCAATTGAGCCAAAGCTATTTTACAATAAAAATAAATTTAAGATGATAATTAGCAATATGGCAATAATAAACATTATCAAGTTTATTTAACATTCAATTAAAAATTAGAAAATGTAACTTTGTTACCAATTGTAACTGATTGAAACGTAGCATAACTTAAAAATGTTATAGGGAATAGAGTGTTTTAAGTTTAAGAAGTCTTCCTTATTATAAACTCATAGTTTTTCACTTTATTATAGCTATTTCTAGGTCTTCTTATGTGTAACTTGTTTTAAAACATCTGCTTTTTTTCTTTCTTTTCTAATTTTGAGTCAAAGTTCTTTAAACTAGAGAGAAAATTTGAATTTTTAATAAAAAATGCAATTTAAAAGCAATAATTAGATACAGACAGCAAGCCTTCCCAGGAAGCGTGTGCGATCGCACGCTTTGTTTGTCCATGCTTAAAGTTTTTTTTTGAATTTTTTAAATTTTTTGGCAAAATAAAGCTATAAGAAACTACAAAGAATAAAATAGCAATACTCAAAGAAAGAAAACAAAGACTAATCAAAATTGAAAATCTAAATAAAATAAATTTAAAAAATTTGAAAATTTAAAATAAAAAAAATTTTGCCTAAAAAATGATATACCTAAATATTTTACTGTTTTTGCTTTCTTTTTTTAGGGCATGTGTTGTTTTCTACCTACAAAATTGATACAAGTCAAGGAAAAAAGCAGATAAGAATATGACTTTAAAAAAAAAACATTTTTTGATATATAATTTTTTTTTGCGACTTTTTTCAGTCAGTATTTCAGGAAATTTTATTATTTGCACTAGAAACATGGACAATTTTTAAATTTGTTTTTAAAATGTTTTTGTTAAACTTTACTGTTTTTATCAATGCACAGGAAAGCAAGAAAACTAATTGTTATTTATTTGTAAAAAATTTTTTTTTTTCTCAAACAAGTTTTTCATGTAAAAAAAGAAAAAGTCATTTATATTACTTATATTCAATTTTAAAATATTTGGTTATTTTCACTAACCCTATTGAAATAGTCTGCACTTTCGTTGGATTATCCAAATTGTGTATTTTAAACCCGATAGTTTATTTCTTATTGAACTATTTTTATTTACTGTATTCCAAAAGCTTGTGGGCTATTGTATTCCTAATTTACTGAACTTTTTTAAAGAAATTTTTTGGAGCATATTTAAAACTTTTTTTTAAGTTTTTTATATTTTTTCAAACAGAGCAATTGTTTGTTTATCTCTAGTAATTCGTATTAACATTGGAAATCAGGCAATTAAAAAAAAAAAAAATTCAGACATGTATCAAATGTAGTAAATACATTTATAAAAGAAACCATGTTATTCTTTTATTTAATTTCTACCATCATTCAGGGATTATTCTTTTCCGGATATTTTCGGAATTCCAGATATTTTTTTAGATTTTTTAGTTTAGTTTTTCCGGATATCCAAAATATTTTGTATACATACAAGTTTAGGTAAACTTATAAGTTTTATAAGTAATATATTTGATTTTTAAGCTTTTTTAATCATCACTTAAAAAAATAAAGAAAAGTTTAAAAAAAATTAGAAACAATCCCACTAAAATCAAAATTAGGAGGAATGTAATGTAAAAAGTTCTCTGGATTTTTTCCGGATATTTTATCCAAGCGATTTCTGGATTTTTTAAGTATGACCTGGATGATCTATGGTCATTACAAAATTTATTAATCAAATAATATATTTTACAAATAAACAGAATTTATTTTCTTATTTTCCTATTATATAAGTATTGAGAAAAAACATTAAATAAAGCAAAAAGTTTTTTAAAAGCAAATAGACATCTAAACAAATAAATGTAAGAAAAAAATTAATAAATTTCTCATAGTTCTAGCCTACATTGTAAATTAATTTCTTAATTATAGTGACTGTAAAAAATCATGAATAAATTGCATATCAAAACATTTGATTTTGTTAAATTTTTATAAAAGATTTGTTTTTTTCTTTAACTTGTATCAAATTTGTTAGCTAAAAACAATAACCACTCTAAAAAACAATAACCACTATAAAAAAACAATAACCACTCTAAAAAAAGAATGCAAAAGTTGTATAAAAATGTTATGTTTTTTTTTTTAATTTTCTTTTGTTAATGATTAAATTTTTCTATTTTATTTAATTAAAACTTGATATTTTATTTCAATTTTTCCTTTTCTTAGGATTTTTTTTTTCTCATTAGATAAGTTTAGTTTTTTGCTGCCAATTATTGAAACGCTATAAAAGTTGAAGAAACAAACTGCTGTGGTCAGTGTGTTCAAAAAATTACTTTAGAGGGAGACGAACAAAGCGTCCTACCGCACGCACTTCCTGGGAAGGCTTGGACTAGCTATACCCATAATTTTGTTTTAATTAGAACAGTATGTGTCTGAGCTTAAAGTGTAGCAACTTTTATGGTGTTTTAATATGTGGTTCTTGAGATGTAGTTTGATAAGTCACCTAACTACCCAAATTACATAACTCTTGCTGTTTATATGCTGTTGAAAAAAGATGAAAATAGCAGATTTTTGTGCAGCCAAAAATTATTTTCTATATTTTATATTTAAAGCCACTAAATTTAACTAACACGTTATTTAGCTCTTTCGGTTCTTTTTTCACCTTTTAGTAAGTTTGGTGCTAATATTTGTTTTGTTACATATGTTGTAGCTGATATAAAAAATTTAAAAATGTAGATACACCTATAAATGTATCTACATACACATATTAAAAGGTGTATCTATAGGTTAACAGATAGGTGGTTAACAAATATGTTTTTTTTTTGCCCTTCTTTTTACTACCTCAACTACCATCCTTTCTGCAAAAAATTGCTTTTATTCGCCTTAATATCAGCATTAAATTTGAGTTTTATTTGCCGTTTATTTATCTTCAATGCCTTTTTTTGTAGCTTTCAAATTAAAAATACCCTCACTGTATTTTTTTTTCCAGGTCTCTAATATTAGTCCTTAAAGCTTTTAGGCTCATGAGAAAATTCAACAAATTATTGAATTTTGTCATGAGTCTGCAAACCTTAAGTTTTGTGCCTAAATTTGTTATCTTTTTACAATATATTGCTCTGCAACATATTGAGTAGTTTTTTAAAATGACTCGCCATAGTGAATATAAAAAGTATATGCCCATACCTACAACTATTAGTGCTGTCTGATGTTCAATCAATGTTTATTTATGGTATTTATTAAGGTAGCACAAAAACAACAACTTGGAACTTAAATAATAAATGAAAAAAACTTACACCATGAAAAGTTTAATTATAGATATTAGTCTATCATTTAGTTTTTTAAGGCAATGAATAATAAATATTTTGTAAATCTTATGGCAAATAAAGATATAGAAAATATAGATATATAAACACAAACTCCTAATTGTTTCAATGTACAGCAATAGCATAAGTATTACTATAAGTTTTAACAATAAGTCACTTGTTAATTCAGTTACTAAGTTATTGAAAAGTATATTAGTCATCAATCTAAGTTATTAACTCAGATTAATCATTAATTTAAGTTATTAGATTATGGACAAATTTAAAACATTTAAATAACATGTAAGTAATACACTCGGTAAGATAAGGACAACTATAATAAATACTTAACTTTCTCTATATTTAAAATAATATTTTTAATGTTTTTCGCATTCATTTACTAATAGATGACAATAATTGGTGGATAATTTTTTATTTTGTCTTATAAGTTATGTTCATGTTTCTTATATGTGATAACAACATAAGGCTAATTTAATTAGGGTTGGTTTTGTCAAAAATATTTATCCATCTAGAGCATCCTAAAAGTTTTCTTGAGTATCTAAATTTTTAAATGAAATTTGGCAGATAGCAAGAAAACAGGTTTGTTAACAGTTGCAAGTAGTTTTAAAAAATGAGCCGAAATACCTTGGCTAATAGCTTGAGGCTTGATTAACAACAAAGTTTTTAGTAACAGTAAAGTTGATAAAAACATCAGCAACTATAAAAAAAAAAAAAAATCCAAATAAAAGTTCCAACTATCCTTCTTATTAAATATCTAAGTTGATAATAAATTCTAAAAACCATTAAACACATTAGCATTGCACTAACGCAAAACAGACTTAAAAAAACATGGCACAGTTTTGGCCAAAATTATAAGTCATGACAGTTTGGGGATGTTTTATTCATAAAATTCCTTAATTTACTTTTTTAAATAATCTTACACAACTTTCTTTAATTAGTCTTTAATTATTCTACTGTTTTTAATTTAGTTGCTGTTAATGGTTTGGTTGAAAATAATGATTTGAAAGAAAATCATGATTGTAATCAGGTAGTTAGCAATTGTGAAGATGTTGAAAAAGATGATGCAGGTTTAGAAATGTTTTACATACAAATAATTTTTTATATTTAGCAATAGCAAAAAGGTTATTTTGTATATACTTTGAATTTCTTTAACCAGCAATAAAGGTATCACTATTATTGCACAAAATAAAAAAACTTGAAAAATTTAATGTAGAAGATTGTGATAACAATGTTATGCTTAATTTAGACAAAATCAAAATCAACCTAAATTTAAAGTCATGTTTCTAAACAATGGCTAAATAGGATTTAAGTGAACCAAAGCTCATAAAAATATGTATTTTGAATAAAAATTTACCTTATATCGAAATTCATATTTTTATTTGCTCAGTGTTCTTTTTAATATTAAAGTATATTAAAGCTTTATTGGATTTGTATAAGCATGCAGCCTTACTTTTTAAATATTGACTAATTACACATATTAAATCTAGGTACAACAATCAACAACCATCTAGGCTGATGATTGCTGTTAGATATGAAATTTAAAGTTCCATAGTATAAGTTTTTTTTCTATATTACTTTTAATTATAAATCATTCTGTTTTGAAAGTTATAAAACAATAAGTTTCGTTAACATTAAGCACTTTTCTTCAAACAAGAGTTTTATATTGTTATATTATTTTAATACAACACTATATTAAACAAAATATATATATATATATATATATATATATATATATATATATATATATATATATATATATATATACATATTATAATTTAATATATTATATAACAAATTTTAAAATTATTTTAGTGTTAAAAATGAAAAAAAAAAAACAAAGCAACAAACTTCTTGCTATTTCCATAAAAAATACCTAACCTAGTTTATGGAACTGCAACTGCATTTCAATTAAATACAAATATTTAAGAAGTTTTTTTATCAAATACAATATGAATACATTTAGTCCATTTTTACCAAATACAAATACAAATATGTATTTGGCCCCAACCCTGACTAAAGTAAATAGCGTAAAAGTAAAGTAAAAAGCATATAATAAAAAAATAATTATACAGTAAAATCCTGTTAACTCGGACCCTGGATAAGTTAGACTTTTACGTCGGACAATTTTTCAATTCCCCTTGAATTCTCTATACATACCAAAAGATTCCCTTAACTCGGACATTTGCTAAGTAGGACAAAATATATATACCCGTTCACAGTCCGAGTTAACAAGATTCTACTGTATATTGTAGGCACTGCGCATGCAATAGAAATTATTAACTCAGGCTTAAAAGGGAAATTCAACTCTAAAAGAAATATAATAAAAAACAAAAAAAAAAACATTGTATTGCTATATAGCAGGAGTTGAACCATGAACTGACTGTTTCTCAGGTTCTAAGCGATTACGCTACATTTGTTGATGAAATAGGCAAAAATAATTATCTTAAAAAACAAAACTGTTGTACTTTTTTTTTTTTTTTTGTTATTCACCTCCTCAAGGCCAAGAAGGCTACTATAGACAAGGAGGCTACTTAATAGTGGTTATAACATTAATAAATTACCAGGCCTTCCCAGATAACACATGCAGTTGCGCACCTTGTTTATTCAGGATTAAAATATTTTTTTTAAACAAACTTGCATTCGATTCTCCAAATTGTGAACCCAAGAGTTTATTTTCTGATGAAATTTTTAAATGTTTTATGAGACCCTTTCAACATTTTTTTAAATTTATTTTTAAAGTTTTCTAAGACAAATTTTAAAAAAAGACAACTGATCATTATATTAACTATCTCTAGTAATTTGTATTTACCCTGGACAATTAGGCAATATTGAGGAAACAATTTCAGACAAGCATCTAATGTGGTCTATAGATTTGTAAAAAAATGAAGTAATTATTTTTTCAAACTTCATCTAATATAACTTAGTTATGCAATTAATTGATTGCAACCTAGTAAAAGGTGTAATAGTGCAGGGCGTTTTTGTTCTAAAAAAACTCTTAATGTGTACATGCATGTTGCAAGCAAACTTTTTGTTGATATGAGATCCTTGTAAGAATTTTAAAAATGGCAGGTGTCACTTAGTTTTAATGTTTGGTGTCACGTGGTATGACGTAATAGACCCTCACAGCAAAAAAAAATTAATCTTTATTTTTCAAATATTTTGTACCAGTAGAAAGAGCATTAAATAAGCTTTTAAAAACATATCATAAACATGTGTTTAAATTTTTTACTTCATAAGGTATGGGGCGTTACGTATTTTACCACACCGGGGGTCATTTAAAGAAATTATGACTAGATAACACATTTTTCATAAATAAAATAGAATTAAAATTATTGATCTGGTACATATATTAAAATTTGGATTGTATAAATTGTATTACAATGTTTAATCAAGAGAAGAAAGGAAAATATTTAACTGACGGTATTAAATCAATTAACTTTGTAATATAAATGGTATTAATGACATTTATTTAATGAAAAGCTTCTAATATCCTAAGATTTCATTCTTAGATTTAAAAACTGTTTAAGTTATGAAAATAAATGTTAAAAGTAACGTGCTTACAAGGTAATATTTAATAATAGACTATATAATTAAATTGTGTTTTCTAAGTCTCTATTGCCATAGTCATTCATGTCTTCCTTTTGGTAGTCTACATTATTATTTGTTCATTCGTTACACTTGAACATATCAGTACAAACAATTTCATTTTTCAAACATTTGAACCTCTTATTACGAGTCTTTTTTACAACGACGAGTCTCTTTTACAACTCTTTTACAAAATGCCTAATTCAATAAGTGCTATTGGTGCTGGCTGGTTATCAGTCAGTATGGGGTCAAGAGATTCATTTTTTAATTCTCAGCCATACTCCATAGGCTTTAGTAGATACTATACAGGCATGTTAGACCGTTTAAGCACTAAACATACAAAGTGAATATGGAGTATATGATACTTAAGGACATTCATTGTTGGTGGAAGTTTTGCAGCGTCATACTGGTATTAAGAAAATGAACCAATACTGGTATTAAGAAATGAACCAATAAATTTTTAAAAGTGTAGTAATTTTTTCTGTCCATTTTTTATTACCATAGACTCTAAAAACAAAAATTTTAATGTCATTTATTGTAAATAGATTAGGTAAAGCTTCCGATTAACCGAGATTTGATAGTGCAGTTAGGGTTCCATTGTCAGCTTTAGTAAATTCTTCCCACCATGATTTTTTACTAATTCAAGAAAAGCAACCAGTTTGATCGCAGCCAGTAAACACATGAAAACCTTAAAAAAAAAAAAAAATTTTATGAAGACTCTTATTGTCATTAACAATGAGAAAATAATTAAACAGAAATACCTAAAATAGCTTACGCTTGTTTAAAACCAATTGCTCTTCTACCAGTTCAGAAAATCATGACATGTGGCAGGACTTGATAAAAGTAAAGCAAAAGTAGAAAAATGTCAGTATCTTGTGAATGCACAATACATTTTATAAATGGGTTTCCTTTTGCAATTTCTATGGCATGCAGAATTAATCAAGTGTCAGCCTTTTCGTGATCATGATTTATCATTTCTGAATTTGCTTCTGTTCTACATTTGCTTCTGTTATGTTAGAATATGTTACAATAAAGCGAACTGCACTACCTCTATTATGCTTGCTTGGTTTCAATGTGCCTCATTAACTGCTTTAGTTATTTATTACAAATTATAGAATCATCAGTTACCTTGTATTTGATTTAATTGCCAGAGGTGCCTTTTTATTTCTTGTTCTAGACTTTAATGACTGTTCCTTGTATCTGTCAAAATTCTTATCTTGCAGTTTTGAGAAAAAAAAGAGTATTACTATAAGTCATACATATGTCAGTTAACTTATCAATTCTACATACACAGTTACAGTGAACAATACATGTGATATGATTGAATTAAAATACTACTGTAGACAATAAATAACATAAGTGTTACCTTCCAAGTTTTAATACTATCATATTTTTGAACTTTATTGACCAAGGGTGTGCCATTATTTATGATAATTTATGTATTTCCATGCATTTCTTCTTCTTGTGTAATAATCTCTAATCTTTTTGACAAGTCTTCTACTTCATGCAGAATTTTTTTTTATCAGAGGTGAGCAATGGGTGACCTTATTGAGTAAACATTGGTTTTGGTACAACTGAAAACTCATAGCTACCGATGCTTTTTTCCAAGTCAAGCTCTAGGAATTTTCTTGCACTAAGTAGAAAAGAAGATAATAAAGTACGCTCTTCTTTTAGTTGAATTACTTTATTACCTATCTTTGTTTTCGTATATTTGGCCTGATTTCGGAATTTTCAGAGTTCTCATCTTCATTAGCAACCATACAGATATGTCTCCTATTAACCTTTCAGTAACAAAAGAATAATAGAGCTCTTCTCCAAAATCGAGAAATAAATTTTTTTTTGATCTTATTGTTCTGTCTTAGCTGCATGCATTTTAAATAGAGCTGAAGATTAAGGGTCACAATAGTTTTTTACCTCCCTGTGACCACAATATTAGTTTCCTGAACAAACTTAAATGCAGCAAAAAGCTTGCTCCAATCAGTTGTTGTACCTGCATGTATCGGCAGACCCTGTGTTACCGTAGATGTAGGAACATCTGAAAGAAGTTAAAAGCACTCTATGTTGGTTGTATAAATTCCTTTCGATCACATTAAAAGACGTCCAAATTCAATCTTTGGTGCAAAATAAAGAAAGAATTACCAATGAATCTAGAAACTCAAAATCTTGAAAGTTTTCGTTAGGTTGGTTTGGTATAGCACAACTATGAATTAAATGGACAGGTGCATGTTAAAATGTAAAATACTTTGTATGCTGCATCTTGAGCAATATTCCTTTAGCATTCAAATTATTTTAAAATGCAACATATGTGGTTCCATGAAATCCAGATTTTTTGTCAGCAGTGTCGTTCTAAAAGTAAATGTTCTCAATTGATTTGTTGACATATTTCAATAACAGCGTTTCCTAAACCATTTTCAATCTTTAAAACACAATCATAGGAACTAGAAAGTCAAAGATAAGCCAAGCAGTCCACCAGCTTCTTATT